TGTGTGTGTGTGTGTGTGTGTATGCACTTGTAATCTTACAAAGAACGCATCACAAAAGACAATCTCTGTACGTGGCCACTGATCACGCTTGCTATTGGAAAAAATAATGAAACAACAATGTATTAAGTAAAATGGTATTTAAATAATATGCAAGTCTGTTGTTCTGGATAAGAATACGTGTGAAAACTGAAAGGAAGAGTAGTGCTAAAGCTTAAAAAATTTCAGTTAGGTCTTTTTTCTCTTTATTGTACACGGTATGCCTAAATAAATGAAAACATAGGCTAACAGTAACAGTCTCACACCCTTCTAATTTCACCAAAGGCTTGGCCTAGCAGGCCTATACTTTTTAAAAGGCCTGGAACGAACCAATGAGACTCATGTTCTAGCAATCTTCCAGAGTTATTTTTTGCGCATGCGCCGTCATCTTTGAAAAGACCGCACCAACGGAAGGTTGATAGGCTGAGGCCTAGCGCTATGTTTATAAATTGCATTCGAAAAGTTACAACCGGTGTGGTCTTTCAAGTAATTTTTTTTTCTCGTTTCTTGATTTAAGGGGATAGAGCCGTTGGACGGCAAGATGAGTGAACAGGTCGCTATGAAGATTGGGGTGAATGTTGACATCCAGAGGACTGATGGTAAGCATTTTGTGGGTTAACGGAATCAGTCAGAATCAAATCACTTTTCTTTCGATATAATTTTATTGAACTGTTGACGCACTGGTGAGTCAAACGGTCCACATTTAGGTAACGCATGGATCATGCATTCTCAAAATTTAACTCTGTAGAGTCAAAGATGATTGTGTGTTGTATTGTAAAGTTGATAAAAGGAGCCTGAGAACCTTGCACAGGAACTGGAGAATCCTGAATGATTCAGTCAGGCTTTGGGGGTAGATTCCAGACTGCTAGGCTAGAGTAGAATGCAGACCACCAATTCTAGACCACCAAAGAATGTCTGTACATTGTTAGTCTCTTCTTAAATTTTATGCCAGACTTGTGTTTTGAAAGTCTAGTGGAGTACTTGATCTGTATTCTTGGTCCACAAATAGATCTAGACTATGAATAAGTTACAGTTACAAGAAAGCTGATTGACTTTTATTTGTTTTTGTTGATCTGTTTTAGTTCCCTTGCCTTGTTCAGACATTCCTGTAGCAAGGATGCCAGGAGTAGAGTGAGATCTAGATTCTAGGCCATTGAATTTTGATTGATAAAAACAGTAACTAGATCTAGATCTAGATTCTAGATCCAGATATCTCTATATATCTAGATCTAGATCTAAATCTAATCTATTTTAAAGTGGAGTAGAATTAACCCTCGTCGTGCGGGGGGCTGTGTCAGGTTTATATGTCACCTGATAAACCTATTTCAGCACTTCGCGCCAGTCTGGCCCCTTGCTCAGCACACGCGCGCCGAGCAATGCGTTCAATTTTGGGTCCCGCGTCTGATCCCC